TCACTCAGATTGATATTCAAGAGCTTACCGGTATCTCCAATCTAGACCATTCTGTCACGGACTTGATTGACGTTTTCCCCAGCACATGTGTTGATGTCACTGGTTTGGCCGGGGAGGCTTTCAAATCGAACTTCCCCGGTGGCTCGTCTTGGCACAGGTACGGGGCTAGACCGAAGGCGTCAACTCCAGCAGGGACCTGGTCTGATGTTGTGCGACGCAGGGATAAGTCAAACGGGAAATCAAGAATGAGAGCGCCCGTTCTCAGATCGCCGCCAAAAATCGTGCTACAAAATAGGTACGAACCTTTGACTCAGAATGAAATGTCTATAAATGAACCTAGGGACGCTAACTACAGTACTTGCACAAGGTCCAAACAAAATCTAAGGAATGGCCCTAAAACTATTGATAGTATGGGCGAAAGAAGAAACATTGCTAACCTTATGGATAAGTTAGATACGATCTTGATTGGGGATGATATAACCAAACATATCAGAATGGCAAAGACTGAAAATCTAACAATGCCTGATACATCGGTTAGAGAGCTAACAGAAATGTTGCCAGTTGTTCTCTCCACATATCCAAGCACCATGCAAATTATTATCCACACTGGGTCTTTTGACATTCTACAAAGGAAAACGGGATCTGAGATCCTAAAAAAGGATTTCTCTTTGCTATTGAAGGAAATAAATAATCTCCGACAACAAGTTTTTATCTCAGGTCCCATTCCAACTATGGGAAAAGGAATTGAATCTTTTAGCAGACTCCTCAGGCTGAATACATGGCTGACATCGGCTTGCCTCAACCATGGGATAAGGTTTATTGACAATTTTAATATCTTCTGGAACTGTAAAGACCGTTTTAGATCCGATAGGGTACATCCAAATATCATGGGGTGCCGTTTGCTTGGTGCTAATATACGTCATGATGTTGGGATGCCTTTCTCAAATAAGACATGTAAGAAGGACAGTACTCACAGGCAGATTATCCATTCACTCATCCCAGCTTCTCCAATTACAGACAATCGCTTTCAGAATTTGCCTCGCGCCAAAAAAGGGGCAAAACAATACCCAACTCTCTCACTATCATTTCTACCTCATTCACATCCCCCGCAACTATTAGATACACCCTCCTCTCCTTCATTACATCCATCTATGAGGGAGTTAGTTTTAACCAAAGTGAGCAAACCTCGATCTTCTCTTTGTCCCTCCCCACCCCGTTTTTTAAAACGAGCGCTTAGACAACTGCCACATCGTCAAGCATCTTGTCCATTAACTATACAGAGCACAAAAAACACTAAGTGATGTGTTCCGGGTCCCTGCCATTGTGAAAATAACTTTGCTGATTGTGTTGAGTATAAGCTAGGACCCGGTATTTCTATTCCTGTGATGATTGGAAATAGAATGAATCGTGATGAGCGTGTAACTAATAAAATAAATCAGTCTAATCTGTTAACTGTACCACGCCAACCCACCAGTTTAGGATCCCCCACTATATCTATTAAATTGGCCTTACTTAACATTAGATCCCTTGCCAACAAATCATTCTTGGTAAATGATATTATATCATCCCATAACTTAGATTTTATGTTTCTTACTGAAACATGGCTTACAGAGGACTGTAGTGCTACTATCTTTAATGAGACAGCTCCTGAAAAATTTGCGTATTTGACTACATGTCGAAATGGTAGGAAAGGAGGAGGGGTGGCTGCCTTATTTAAAGATGCATATCAATGTAAAGAAAATAAATTAGGTCATTTTACTTCGTTTGAATATCTTTGTTTTATATTGAAGGGTACTCCCAAAATTCTGTTTGGAACGATTTATAGACCACCGCGATATTCTGCTAATTTTATTGAAGATTTTGCTGAATTACTCTCTATTATATCGGTTGATTTTAAGTTGTTTATTATTACAGGGGATTTTAATATTCATATACTGTAGATAATAGTACAGACAATAATGTCAAAGAATTTTTTGCACTTTTAGACACCTTTGACCTCACTCAACATGTGAAAGAGAGTACACATACTCATGGTCACATTTTAGATCTGGTTATTTCGAAAGGTCTTGATATGTTATCTGTCATGGTTAAGGATTTAGCCCTATCTGATCATTTTTGTGTCTTTTTTGAATTGTCTACTACTTTTAATTTGCCAGCAAACTCTGTTTTTATCAAGAAAAGGTACATTATTGAAAATACTCATGTTCAGTTTATAGAAGCTATAGCCAGATCTCCAACAATAAGTGCTGAGTCAGTTGATGCACTTCTAGATAATTTTAATGCTAAAATATTGAATGTCATCGATGGTATTGCACCAGTAAAAGTAAAGAGAAATATGAGCAAACAAAAATCACCATGGAGAACCACCATGGTGGTAAATGCCCTTAAAAGAGAATGTAGGAAAGCAGAACGCAAATGGCGGAAAACTAAATTACAAATTCATTACGACATCTATAAACAAAGCCTTGGCAATTTTAATATTGAGTTATGCAGGGCCAGACAGCAACATATATCGGAAATGATCAATAATAGTATTAATAATACCCGCACTTTATTTATCATGGTTGACAAGCTTACAAATCCAATACAGCAAGCAACATCAGAATTCGCATCTATTATGAAATGTAATGAATTTGCGTGGTTTTTCAGTGAAAAAATTATTAATATTAGACGGACTATTAGTACTACACAGTCTGACACTGATTCTCTACCGTTACTACATCCACCAAGACATGACTTGGTTACTATGTCGCAATTTAATGTAATCGATCAAAAATTCCTAGAAGAAATAGTTAGACATCTTAAATCTTCTACGTGCTGTCTAGACATACTGCCCTCAGACTTTTTTAAAACAATTCTTAGCTCTATAGTAACAGATCTGCAGCAAATAGTCAATAGTTCTTTGCAATCAGGCATTTTTCCAACGTCCTTGAAAATCGCTGCCATTAAGCCTATATTAAAAAAAAGAACAATGGATGCTTCTACAATGAATAACTATAGACCGATTTCAAAACTCTCTTTTATAGCCAAGATTATTGAGAAGGCTGTATTTATTCAATTAAATGAGTTTGTGACTTCAAGTGGTCTTTTAGATAAATTTCAGTCAGGTTTTCGACCACAGCATAGCACTGAAACTGTCCTAATTAAAGTTTTAAATGATATACGGCTGAATACTGATTCTGATAAAATAACAGTTTTGGTTCTATTAGATCTCAGTGCAGCATTTGACACTGTAGATCATAGAATTCTTGTAGATAGGCTGGAAAATTGGGTAGGAGTCTCCGGGACAGTCCTTGATTGGTTCAGATCTTACCTGAATGATCGGAGTTACTTTGTTACCATTGGAAATTCTGAATCTGATAGGGTGGGCATGACATGCGGAGTTCCACAGGGATCAGTTCTTGGACCGCTTCTGTTCAACCTCTATATGTTACCTTTAGGCCAGATTCTACAGAACAATAACATTAACTACCATAGTTATGCCGATGATACTCAAATATATATGTCTCTTGATTCAGACGACAACAGTTCAATAGACTCTTTGTGCCACTGTATAGAGCAAATAAAAACCTGGATGAATCTAAATTTTTTACAATTAAACCAAGACAAAACTGAGGTTATTGTGTTTGGCAACAAAAATAAAAGAACAAGTATTATTAAAGAATTAGATTCCCGTGCCTTTAAAACCAGGGATCAAGTGCGTAATCTTGGTGTTATGATAGATTCAGATCTCACATTTAACAGTCATATTAGAGCGGTCACTAAAACAGCATTTTATCATTTGAAAAATATATCTAGAATCAAAGGCTTGGTGCCTCAAAAAGACCTAGAGAAGCTTATCCATGCTTTTATCTCTAGTAGGGTTGACTACTGTAATGGCCTATTAACGGGACTTCCGAAGAAGACTGTAAAGCAGCTGCAGCTTGTTCAGAATGCTGCTGCTAGATTATTAACCAGGACTAAGAGAATAGAGCACATCACTCCGGTTCTTAAAACTCTGCATTGGCTCCCAATCAGTTATAGAATAGTTTTTAAAGTGATGCTCTTAGTTTATAAAGCACTGAATTGTTTAGGTCCTGAGTACATTTCTGAAATGTTTCAAAAATATAAACCAAGCAGGGCTCTTAGATCAATGAACTCAGGTCAGCTAGTGGAGCACAGAGTTAGAACAAAGCATGGAGAAGCTGCGTTTAGCATCTCTGCTGTACACGACTGGAACAAACTACCAGAAGATCTTAGATGTGCTCCAAACGTATTGATTTTTAAATCCAAGTTGAAAACATTTCTTTTTTCACGTGCTTATGACTGAGGTCTTAAACCTAGCTGTACTGTTCAGCCTTACAGTTTCTTACGTCTTTTTATCTTATTGTTTTAAATTTTTCTTGTGTCTGCTTGTATCTTGTATTTTTATTATGATGTTTAATTATTTTTCATTGTAAAGCGCATTGAATTGCTTTGATGGATGAACTGTGCTATATAAATAAACCTGATTTGATTTGATTTGATTTGAAGTGGCATCATCCATCTTTTTTTTATAGTCTATGGTCAGGACTGATTTAATCATGACCTTAACCAGCAGATGTGTTTTTGTCCACAGTTCACAAATACTTGTGTAACCTTAATACATTTAGCAACGATAACAGTGCTATATTAATTAACTTCAGCACTTGATTAACTAAGTTGCAGTTATCAACATCGTTGTGTCTAAAATCTGCTTTAGTTTCAGTATTTGAGAGAGGCCAAAAGTTTTAAAATCTTGTAACCTTTGACTATTTAAAAGGGAAAAAATGATATGTATAAGCAACATATGAAGAAGCCTTGTGATTTAATTTCAACAGCACATCTTCCTTAAGTCATAATATACTTTTGTTTAAACAGATAATCACAATCTAGTCATTTGTTACCAAAAAATAAAGCTAAGACGGTATAGTAGTGCTAATAATTGTGATGATGATGGATAGAATAGTATTTAATCAGATATCTTTTGTTCATTTCCACAGCTCAATGTACACAGCCTTCTTTTGCATCAAGGAATGTCATCTTGTCAGAATCTTATCTCTTGACTCAAAGTTTCCCAGATGGATCAACCGTAACATTTGAGTGTGAAATTGGGCATAAACCAGTAAACTCAAGAGCATCTAAATCTGCTACTTGTGAGAGAAACCAGTGGACAAGTCTGGAATTAGAGTGCACAAGTATGTGCTATCAATATTTTTTTTTTGAGTCCCCTACATTTGTAATTTTCCCTAAAGTGCCTTTGAATGTTTTTTAAAATTGATATGTGAAGGATGTACAGTATTGGTCAGCAAGCCCTTAAATGGCTTATATTCGTAAGCAGTTCCTTTATAGTGAGGCAACACTAAAGATTATTTTTCAATATTTTCAGAATGTGAAAACCACCAAATCTCAATAAGTCAATAATATCTTTAAAACATTACAGAAAAAACCTGTGGGAGTCTTCCAGATTTTGATAATGGGAGATATGAAAGAACTGGGAATTTATTTGGTGACAAAGTTACAGCGGTTTGTAACACAGGGTAAGTGAAACCAATAAATCAGTTTCTTTGTGCTGTTTTAACCATGTATTTAGATTTAGATGTGCTGTGATTTGGTAAGATGATGATCTTTCTCTTTTTTTTTTCCAGATACATTTTAGATGGATTGATAAAAGACAGATGGTGCCGAGATCAGGGATGGGATGGCAGAGATCCTGTCTGTGAAGGTGAGGTTTTTTTCTTAAATTTGAATGAAATATGACATTGAAGAGCACTCATTTATTCAGAACCATTCATGATGAGTATAAACAATTGTTATATGCTCTTCACTTTGTGATGCATCTGAAAATAAGTATTTATTCACCAGGATTTTTTTTCTCTTTAGTGGTGAAATGTAAGGCACCTCCAGCCATAGTAAATGGACAGCTTGAAGAGGGGCCTTTGGACAGTTATGATTATTTGCAGGCCGTGTCCTACAGATGTAACAGTGGGTTTAGTCTTATTGGAAATTCAATACTTCATTGTTCTGAGGATGGGACTTTTAAACCAGATCCGCCAAAATGTATGGGTAAGTTAAACAGCCAGTCAAGAGATGAAAAAAGAACTTGTAAGCTGCTTCTTTTTTTTCTGTTGATGAATAAAATGTTTAATGAATAATACAATTAATTTACATAAACTTTTATTCTTTTCTTTTTTCAGATGGATGTTTAAAGCCTGAAATTTCACACGCAACTAGAATCGGTGGAAGATCACCCCCCTACAAACTGGGACACTTTATAGATTACAAATGTGATGATGGCTTTACAATGAAAGGAGACTTCCATATTGTGTGTGGAGCAACAGGATGGAACCCTGAACCACCAAAGTGCATTGGTAAGACTAAAATGATTTTATTATTACATGACTGCAAACCATTTTATCTCCTAGTGATGTCACTCTGTTTAAAGGAGTAGCTCACCCAAAATGAACATTAATTTACTTGTCATTGTTAAGAAAGTCTTAAGCTTTTAGTCTAGCTGACTATCACATTTAGAGGGCTTCATTGGGATTGGGGTCCCATGGGACTAGGGGTGGAACGGTAAACAGAAGTCACAGTTTGGTTCATACCTCGGTTCAGACATCACGGATGATGGATAGAATAGTATTGCATCAGATTACTTTAAAGTATATCTTTTGTTTATTTCCACAGCACAATGTAGACAGCCTTCTTTTGCATCAAGGAATGTCATCTTGTCAGAATCTTATCTCTCGGCTCAAAGTTTCCCAGATGGATCAACCGTAACATTTGAGTGTGAAATTGGGCATAAACCAGTAAACTCAAGAGCATCTAAATCTGCTACTTGTGAGAGAAACCAGTGGACAAGTCTGGAATTAGAGTGCACAAGTATGTACTATCAATAATTTTTTTTTGAGTACCCTTGTAATTTTCCCTAAAGTGCCTTTGAATGTTTTTTAAAATCTAATTTAGATATGTGAAGGATGTACAGTATTGATCAGCAAGCCCTTAAATGGCTTATATTCGTAAGCAGTTCCTTTATAGTGAGGCAACGCTAAAGATTATTTTTCAATATTTTCAGAAGTATGTGAAAACGTACTCGGTTACTAACGTAACCTCGGTTCTCTCTAGAGAGGGAACGAGTACTTCGTAATAGCTTACGCTCGGGGAAAAACCTCTTTTCCACGAGATATTGAAGCCAAAAATTATCCTTAATTTTTTATTAATGTAAAACGCTTTGCAGCAGCAAGCAGACACAGGCGAGACAGCTCGCGCGCCTATTGGCTGCTCTTGCGGCAAATGCAGCAGCCTATCGAGAGAGACTCTGCGTGACGTAATGACCAATGGGGGCAACTCGCGCCCATATCGTCACGTCCCGCCAGAAAGGGCGTGGTCTCACTCTATAAATATGCTCGTTAGGCTGGTACAAGCTGGTTTTCATCGCCGAAGCGAACCAGAGCGTATTCCAAGCACGGCAAGATACGCAGTACTCGTTCCCTCTCTAGAGAGAACCGAGGTTACGTTAGTAACCGAGCACGTTCTCTTACGAGAGTATCTCTCGTACTGCGTAATAGCTTACGCTATAGGGGAACACAATGCAACACGCCGTGCGTACAGGGATCCAACACCAAAGTCCCAGGGGCCGAAGCCCAGGGCTCATATAGTGCATAATCACCATAAACTCACATAGAGTGGAGGAAGAGAGGCTGGAAGCGTCATTCCTTATAAAATAGCACCCAGCGGGGCTATCATATGACAATAAAATGCGCAGCCAGGGTGAAAGCTTTCAGCCTGATCTGGGTGGCCATACGTGTGTCAACACTCATGGGGCTGCAGTAAACTCAGCATCTGGGCCGCACAGCGGGGCAGATAGCACTGAATTTTAGACCGCCAAAAGCTTAGCTTGTAAGGCGGGTACCTCCAGGTTATAGTATTTTATAAATGTAGACGGCGAGGCCCAGCCCGCGGCCGTACAGATATCTTGCAGGGAATGCCCACGAAGAGGCCACGCCTCTCGTGGAGTGCGCTCTGACACCCAAGGGGCACTGCAAGCCCTTTGCAGTGTAAGCGAGCGCAATGGCATCCACTATCCATCTGGATAGGCTCTGTTTTCAGGCGGCCCTTGGAGCGCCCGCCAAACAAAACGAAAAGCTGCTCAGTCTGTCTGAAAACAGACGAGCGCGACACATAAGCTCTTAATGCCCTGACGGGGCAAAGGAGACTCGCGTCCTCCTCCTCATTGAGAACCGGATAGGCGGACAGGGAAATTACCTGGGCCCTAAACGGTGTATTGAGGGATTTCGGCACATACCCGTGCTTAGGTTTGAGAATGACCTTCGAGTCATTAGGCCCAAACTCCATACATGACGCGCTTACTGAAAGCGCCTGCAAGTCCCCTATGCGCTTCACTGAAGCGAGAGCCATGAGAATCACTGTTTTGAACGACAGGTGTTTCATGTCCACCGGCTGGATTGGCTCGAACGGGGCGCCTTTCATGGCCTCCAGGACCGTGGAAAGGTCCCACGTCGGGACTGAAGGGGGCCTGGGAGGGTTTAGCCTCCGAGCTCCCCTAAGGAAACGCACGACTAAGTCGTTCTTCCCCAGCGACTGGCCAGACACCGGTTTTGCAAACGTTGCTATGGCCGCCACATATACTTTGAGCGTGGATGGGGTCCTGCCCTTATCCAGTAGCTCTTGAAGGAAGGAAAGCACTTCCGAAACCCCGCATTCCACAGGTGAAAAGCTCTGGGCTTGACACCATGCAGAGAAAACAGACCATTTCGAGGAGTAGAGCCGCCTGGTAGACGGAGCTCTAGCCTGCGCGATCGTGTTTAACACTCCTTCTGGGAGGCTAGCGGGTACCCGTTGATGGCCCATGCGTGCAGGGACCACAGCTCCGGGCGAGGGTGCCAAATCGAGCCCTCCGCCTGAGAGAGGAGGTCTCTCCTCAATGGTACAGGCCATGGGGCAGTGCTGGTCAGCTGCATCAGGGCAGGGAACCACGTCTGGTTTGTCCAGAGCGGGGCTACGAGCAGCACTGGGCATCCGTTTTCCCTGATTCGTTCCAACACCTGAGGCAGGAGCGAGACAGGAGGAAAAGCATATAGGGGGCAGCGGGGCCAAACATGAGCCAGCGCGTCCTTGCTTTTCGAGAAAAACTTCGGGCAATGAGCGTTTTCGTGGGACGCGAATAGGTCCACCTGTGCTCTGCCGAACGTTTTCCACAGCAGCTGGACCGTCTGCGGGTGCAGCGACCACTCCCCTGCTGGAACATTGTTCCTGGACAGTCTGTCTGGTCCCACATTCAGGTGACCAGGCACGTGCGCTGCTCTCAGTGAGAGCAGGTTGTGCTGAGCCCAGACCAGGAGGCGTTCCGTCAGCCTGTGAAGGTTTCGTGACCTGACGCCGCCCTGGCGATTTATGTATGCCACCACTGACATGTTGTCCGACCGGACCAAGACGTGGTGGCCTGTTACCTGGGGACAAAAACGCCGTAGCGCTTTGTCGACTGCTATCATCTCCAAGCAGTTTATGTGAAGGAGCTTTTCCCGTTCTGACCACAGGCCAGCTAGCCGTCTGCCCTCGAGCAGCGCTCCCCACCCCGAGGTGGAGGCGTCCGTAGACACCACCTTCACACTCGAAGCGGTCCCCAGACTCACACCTGACTGATGCCAGTCGGTTATTTTCCAAGGTTCCAGAGCTGAAACACACTGTAGGTTGACCCTGAGGCGAAACAGACCCGCTGTCCATGCCCTGGGTGGAACCCGCGCTTTCAGCCACATCTGCAGTGGGCGCATGCGAACCAAGCCCCACTGGAGTACAGAGGCCGCTGAGGCCATCAGCCCCAGCATTTTCTGAAACCTTTTGAGCGGAACTATCGAGCCGTGGCGGAAGGATTTCGCGACGCGCTGAATATTTAGTCCGCGCTCTGGTGACAGGCGTGCCGTCATGGATAGCGAGTCTAACACTGTTCCCAGAAAGGAAATTTTCTGACTGGGAGACAGTGAGCTCTTCGCCCAATTGACTGTGAGGCCCAGCTCCTCGAGGTGCTCGAGTAATGCGGCCCTGTGTTCTATGAGCTCCGATCGTGATCGAGCTAGAATCAGCCAATCGTCCAAGTAGTTCAGGACTCGCATGCCCTGAAGTCTCAGGGGTGCGAGCGCCGCGTCCATGCACTTCGTGAATGTACGAGGTGCTAGGGACAGGCCGAACGGCAGGACTGTGTATTGATATGCCTGGCCCTCGAAAGCGAATCTCAAGAATCGCCTGTGATGGGACGCTATTTGTATTTGGAAATAGGCGTCTTTCAGATCTATTGACATAAACCAGTCCCCGTGGCGCACTTGCGCGAGGATTTTCCTGGTCGTAAGCATTCTGAACTGGCGCTTCACAAGCGCTCTGTTCAGCTGTCGCAGATCTAAAATGGGTCTGAGACCTCCATCTTTTTTCGGTACCAGAAAATATCTGCTGTGTAGGCCCCCTTTGCTCTGAGCTTGAGATAAAGGTTCTATAGCACCTTTGCTCAGTAGTTTCACTATCTCGGCTCGAAGTAGATGAGATACTTCGTTTTCCACCGTCGTCTCGACGCGCACCGTATAACGGCGGGGACGTCGAGCGAACTGTAGCGAATAGCCTCTTTTTATAGTGTTCAGCACCCATTCTGATACCCCAGGAAGCTGTGCCCACACTTTCGCGTGAATAGCTAGGGGTAGAATGAGATCTGGGCTCTGGCCGAGACATAGTGACGGCAAGAGAGCTCCGGCGTGCTGTAACGCAGACACTGTGTTTACAGTGTGTGAGGCGGGGGGCGCGCCGATCGCGGCGGGCAGCCTGGCCGCGCTCAAAACCCTTATAGCAGTTTGCTGAGGGAGAGAGAGCGGGGCGAGCCCCGTGGGGCTTAACATGTCTGTGAGTGAATGTGGGCGCAGGACAGCGGGCACATTTACTGCACTAAAAAACACCGTCGGCCTGAGCTGACTGAATGCGTGTTGGTTTCGTTTTCACAGAACCCGTGGGACATGTGGTGTGTAGTGTTTGTGGGCACTGAGACGTAGGCACATTCACTACATTTAGTGCACAATCGACATGAGGCGATTTTGTTTGTGCGAGCCCTGCATTTTTGCGGGCTGTGTTTGTGTGTAGAAATGAGCCCTGGGTTGTGGGCATTTTCAATACACTCATAACACCATTGGCTGTGACCGGAATACCAGAAAATACACCGTTTATGTGATTTATCTGGGTCGCCGTGGGAACAGCATTTGTGTGCAGGCAAGCGGGCATGGTACTGGCTTGCTTACTGCAAAATACACTGGAACAGTCACATTTTTTGGAACTGAACAAGCGAAAATTTCAGTGGAAGTCTGGCCACGGCGGGACTGAAACACCGTCGATTTCCTAGGAGGCTAGGAAGACTTGTGTTGGTTTCGTTTTACAGAAACCGTGGTATTGTTTGTGGGCACTGGGTTGTGGGCACATTCACTACATTTAATGCACAATTGACATGCGTCGATTTCATTTGTGCGAGCCCTGTACCGTGGCGGGCTGTGTTTGTGTGTAGAAATGAACACTGGGCTGTGAGCATTTTATTACACTTATAACACCATCGGCTGTGGCCGGAAAACCAGAAATACAATGATTACATGATTTGTCTGGGTCGCCGTGGAAACGGCCTTTATGTGCAGGCAAGCGGGCCGTGGTACCAGCTTGTTTACTGCAAAATACACTGGAACAGTCGCATTTTCTGGAACTGAACGAGCGAAAAGTTTCGGTGGAAGTCTGGCCGCGGCGAGACTAAATTTGTATCTGCTGCGAGAGCCGGGATCGATCACGGGTCTCTCGCGCGAAGGCTTCGGGTTCCGCCACTGGGCCACAGGGAGAACTACACTAGCGCAAGCAGATAAGAGAGTGTCATCACAGTTTTGTGTGTGTCGGCGTTTGTATGCAGGTGTGCGTCTTATACAACAGGCTCATTGCTGCAATAATGACATTTTCAGCCGCTCAAACTAGGAGCTGAGAAATGTTTGAGAAATGGAGATTAGTCCGGCCTCGGCGGGGACTAAAACACACTCTTTTCTCATTTGCCGGTGACGCACGCCCATGGGGCGCGGGGTGGATTTCTTATAACGTAAAGAAAGCTAGCCGCGGTTTTAGGGCTCGCGGTCTTGATGCTGGCCCGTTTCCTTGACGACTCGCGGACAGAAGGCGGAGGTCCACAGAGCTCGCCTGTTGCGCGGCGGTTGCGCGGGCGCCTCCCAGTCGAGGCCGATGCTTTCCACGGCCTGAGAGAGCAGACGCATCAGCTCAGTCTCAATGCCGGCTCTCTTACCAGTGGTTTGGCGAGAAACGCTAGCGGAGGGGAGGTCCACGGAGCTCGCCCAATCCTCGCTATCAGATGCCAGAAGAGAACACGCCTCGGTGGGTTCGTCGAACTCGTGGACGGACGCGGCGGCAGGCGGCGCCCGTTGTCCGTCAGTGAGCGACTCGAGCGAAGCCGGCGAAGCTGGCGGGCGAACCGACGAGCTTTGGCGGGCTGGAGAGAGCTCGGGAGCGCGCTGGGCGCGGCGCTTCCTGCGGCGCGGCACCACGGCGGGCTGTGGTGAAGGCTCGGAGAATGATGCCAGGCGAGTCCTCAGAGTCACCATAGGCAAAAGCTCGCAATGAGGGCATCCGCCGTCAGCGAGCGCGATGGCCGCGTGATCCTCACCCAGGCAGGACACACAGATGACGTGACGGTCCCCGTCGCTGAGTGGGGCGCGGCACGAGCCACAGGATGGCATCTTTAAAAAGACGCAGCTCTTTTGTGATGAGAAGTGTGAGTCGCGTCAAGTAAGCGAGCAAACACTCTCAGCAGAGTAAGGATACAAAGTGATATAAAAGGATATAGAACGCCGGAAAGCGCAGCAGGTACGGCAGTTGAAGGCGGCGAGGCCAGCGACTCCAGAGCTCGTCCCGCTGAAAAGCTTGCTTCGACGGCGCGGCTTCTCACTCCGGATCCAGCGATGCGTGCTTCGCTGAAGAGATGAAAATCAGCTTGTACCAGCCTAACGAGCATATTTATAGAGTGAGACCACGCCCTTTCTGGCGGGACGTGACGATATGGGCGCGAGTTGCCCCCATTGGTCATTACGTCACGCAGAGTCTCTCTCGATAGGCTGCTGCATTTGCCGCAAGAGCAGCCAATAGGCGCGCGAGCTGTCTCGCCTGTGTCTGCTTGCTGCTGCAAAGCGTTTTACATTAATAAAAAATTAAGGATAATTTTTGGCTTCAATATCTCGTGGATAAGAGGTTATTCCCCAAGCGTAAGCTATTACGCAGTACGAGAGATACTCTCGTAAGAGAACCACCAAATCTCAATAAGTCAATAATATCTTTAAACCTTTACAGAAAAAACATGTGGGAGTCTTCCAGATTTTGATAATGGGAGATATGAAAGAACTGGGAATTTATTTGGTGACAAAGTTACAGCGGTTTGTAACACAGGGTAAGTGAAACCAATAAATCAGTTTCTTTGTGCTGTTTTAACCATGTATTTAGATTTAGATGTGCTGTGATTTGGTAAGATGATGATCTTTCTCTTTTTTTTTCCAGATACATTTTAGATGGATTGATAAAAGACAGATGGTGCCGAGATCAGGGATGGGATGGCAGAGATCCTGTCTGTGAAGGTGAGGTTTTTTCTTAAATTTGAATGAAATATGACATTGGAGAGCACTCATTTATTCAGAACCATTCATGATGAGTATACACAATTGTTATATGCTCTTCACTTTGTGATGCATCTGAAAATAAGTATTTATTCACCAGGATTTTTTTTCTCTTTAGTGGTGAAATGTAAGGCACCTCCAGCCATAGTAAATGGACAGCTTGAAGAGGGGCCTTTGGACAGTTATGATTATTTACAGGCCGTGTCCTACAGATGTAACAGTGGGTTTAGTCTTATTGGAAATTCAATACTTCATTGTTCTGAGGATGGGACTTTTAAACCAGATCCGCCAAAATGTATGGGTAAGTTAAACAGCCAGTCAAGAGATGAAAAAAGAACTTGTAAGCTGCTTCTTTTTTTTCTGTTGATGAATAAAATGTTTAATGAATAATACAATTAATTTACATAAACTTTTATTCTTTTCTTTTTTCAGATGGGTGTTTAAAGCCTGAAATTTCACACGCAACTAGAATCGGTGGAAGATCACCCCCCTACAAACTGGGACACTTTATAGATTACAAATGTGATGATGGCTTTACAATGAAAGGAGACTTCCATATTGTGTGTGGATCAACAGGATGGAACCCTGAACCACCAAAGTGCATTGGTAAGACTAAAATGATTTTATTATTGCATGACTGCAAACCATTTTATCTCCTAGTGATGTCACTCTGTTTAAAGGAGTAGCTCACCCAAAATGAACATTATGTTACTTGTCATTGTTAAGAAAGTCTTAAGCTTTTAGTCTAGCTGACTATCACATTTAGAGGGCTTCATTGGGATTGGGGTCCCATGGGACTAGGGGTGGAACGGTAAACAGAAGTCACAGTTTGGTTCATACCTCGGTTCAGACATCACGGATGATGGATAGAATAGTATTGCATCAGATTACTTTAAAGTATATCTTTTGTTTATTTCCACAGCACAATGTAGACAGCCTTCTTTTGCATCAAGGAATGTCATCTTGTCAGAATCTTATCTCTTGACTCAAAGTTTCCCAGATGGATCAACCGTAACATTTGAGTGTGAAATTGGGCATAAACCAGTAAACTCAAGAGCATCTAAATCTGCTACTTGTGAGAGAAACCAGTGGACAAGTCTGGAATTAGAGTGCACAAGTATGTACTATCAATAAATTTTTTTTGAGTACCCTTGTAATTTTCCCTAAAGTGCCTTTGAATGTTTTTTAAAATCTAATTTAGATATGTGAAGGATGTACAGTATTGGTCAGCAAGCCCTTAAATGGCTTATATTCGTAAGCAGTTCCTTTATAGTGAGGCAACACTAAAGATTATTTTTCAATATTTTCAGAAGTATTTGAAAACCACCAAATCTCAATAAGTCAATAATATCTTTAAACCTTTACAGAAAAAACATGTGGGAGTCTTCCAGATTTTGATAATGGGAGATATGAAAGAACTGGGAATTTATTTGGTGACAAAGTTACAGCGGTTTGTAACACAGGGTAAGTGAAACCAATAAAGCAGTTTCTTTGTGCTGTTTTTTATTTTTATTTTTATTATTTTTTTATACTTTTTTTATTGCCTTTTCTTAAACACTTACACAACAATGTACATCACATGTCTGTAACATCACATATAATGTACAAAAACAAAACAAAAAACAAAAAAACAAACACCGGGGCTCGTATTACATGAAAAGTGCAATAGCACAAACCAACATTGGATAATGAAGTATGTACTTTGGAAGTCAGAGTAAACAATACACTGCAATCAATAATAGTCACAGATAAGAGAAATAAAATAAAATAGGGTTAGTGCAAATTAAAATATATTTTAAAATGGATATAATACCTAATCAAGCATTTTGTTCCTCCTCTATTATATTGTTCATATGCCCATGCTCAATAAATAATAAAAAGGGACTCCAAATCCTCTTAACCCTCTGGGGTACTTCGGGACAAAAATGTCCCGAAGCGTTTTAAAAAAAAATGTTAAAAATTGTAGCTTCATCGGAATGGTCCGAAACTTGGTGACTTTTTTGGTACTTGGTATATGAACACCCAAAAAAATTGGGGACAGGATTTGAAAAGTCTAAGTGGTCTTAAAACAAAATAGTCACACTCAGGACCTTCGGGTCAAAAATGACCCCCATAGGAAATGAATGGGAAATTGGCAAAAATGTGAAAATACAGAGTTTTTTTTGTGCATACAATCTACAAAACAGCCAGGATGCAGAAAAAAAGCACACAACAGTGAAGGGGTGAATCTCTTAAAACAATGGGTGACACAATTTTTTCCATTTGTTCTCTTTATATTGCAATGTTCAGGTTTGACTGTATTATAAAGTAAAACTGCCACTTCAAATTACCATTTAAACCAACCAAATTTTTTTTTTTTTTTTTTTATTAAAAAAAAAGACAAAAATAGTCTTTGAGAATCTGTTATTATATATTCAAATCAACAACCTGAAAAAAATTAAACAATATGTGAAAAAAAAATCACTAGAGTGTTTCTACCATAGGTTTCTACAGAGAGCTGTAAATCCACTAGTGGTAAAAATGTGCTATTGCGTGATAAAAATGCTCAGTGTGTCCACCAGATGGCTCCGATCTCATTTCAAAAATTGCTTTCATGAGGCCTAGACTTGACTCTAAAATGAAATACAGCTTTAATAAAAAAAATTTTTTAATTATATATATATATATACATTTTCTATTATATTCAATGGGAAAAAATCGGTCTTAATTATTGCATAAATATTAATTCTAAATCATAAAATTATCTCAAAACACCAAAAAAGACAAGAAAAAATATTATTGAACAAAAATATATTTAAGTGATTTTACTCAAATAAAATGTATCTTAATGCCGCCCTCCGGGTCATTTTTGACCCGAAGGTCCTGAGTGTGAGTCTAAAATGAAGTACCCCAGAGGGTTAAATTGGTCTTCTTTACCCTTAAGAATATATGTTATCTTTTCCACTGCAATGCATGAAGATATTTCTCTTAACCATCAAGTTATAACCAATGTCCACTTTAGTGGCATGCAGCCATATATATATCTGAATAATAGGAAGGGCCCACCAGCTAAGAACGTATTGTTGCAAAATCTTAATATGTTACCCAGTTGTAAAGTCACAAACAATAAAGACAGAAATTAACTTTTTATACATTTATATCAATTTAGGAAACAACAAAAAAACAAAACAATGTATTTATATGAAAATAAATTGTAATGAAACCAGTTCAACAAATGAAAACAATATCCACTCTCATGGTCTATAAAGAAAGACTTAATCAGTAGAAAAGAAAATTACAAATGAAATCTTGTAATTGAATGATTCTTTGAGTAATTAAGGGAATCACTACAAAGAAAATTGAATGTCCAAAGCAAAAAAAACAACCTTCAAGTGCTCTTCCAGTAGTCCAAGGAAATCCATAAAAAACTAGATAGCCCACAAAATCACAGTCTTGTACTTAGGATATTTGTTAATCCACATGGTAATGCAGTGATATCAATCCATTGGTTTAGAAACCACTTGACGTCCATTTCAGTTGGGCCTTAGCAATTCATATGGACTCAACCGTCTCAAATCATAAAGTAACGTATAAAGAGTCCGTCTACAACAAAAAAAGAAAAAGATATCTATAGTACTATTATATAAATCAAAATGAAAAACAATTACACAACATTAGGAGGAACAAAACTTACATGATTGAACTGGAAACAATGTTTCTCAATCAGGACTCCAATAAGTGTTGCAGGAGGTGCTTGAATAAAACCATGCTTCCCTCTTCCAAACAACTGACTTCTTCTATACTCCCATCCTTTTAAATACCAGAGGTTCTAACGCTCATGAGCCCCCCTAGTGGTGAGTATGATATCACAGTAACAGCTAATACTGTTACATACCCCTCTCCTCAGAAAGAGATTTGCCATAACCATGACAAATCTTAAGATTTTGCACGTGATACGTTTCAGTACTGTCTGGATCAGAAATAAAAGAAACAGAATAATTAACTGGCCCTAACTTTTTGTTAACTTTTGCTGGCCCTTTCCACTTAGCAGACAGCTTAGCCATGAATCCTTCATCGGCTCTAGATAAAGGATGTGTCCGTGCCCAAACCATATCTCCCTCTTGGAAATGCACTGGCTTACGATGCTGATCATAGTATCGCTTTTGCTTGGCTTGAGCTCGGTTCACATTCTCTTTCACAATAGCAAGGAGTTCTTGTTGTCTGTCAAGGATGGGATATGCAGGGTTATTAGGATCAGGCGGTTTAGGTAAGGCTCTCTCCATTGGACCTTTTAATTTACGTCCAAGCGCTACTTCAGCAGGTGTAAAACCTGTACTTTCGTGGTAGGCTGTATTAATAGCAAACCTGAATTCGGCGATCCATCTATCCCAAAACTTATGTTGGTCTCCGACGTAAGAGGCAATCATGGTCTTCAAGTTTCGAGTGACTCTCTCTGTCAGATTTGTTTGGGGATGGTAGGCTGTGGTCAGTTTTTGAATGACTCCCCACTGCTTGCACACCTGACCAAGGAGTTGAGAGGTGAATTGGGCACCACGATCTGATACCAGGTAGGCTGGTGTTCCCCATCTGGTAAATATCTCCTCTACTAGAACTCGGGCTATCTGAGGGGTTTTAGCAGACCTTAGGGGAAACAACTCCACCCACTTAGAACAATAATCCACAATAACAAGAAGATACTCGTTTTGTTTGAAACTTTTTGGAAAAGGCCCCATGAGATCGATGCCCATCATGTAGCCAGGTTCAACAATGGGTGTAGACTGTAGGTAACCAGATAATTTTGACATGGATGGTTTGTATTTTTGACAGACTTGGCATTCTTTACAATGTTTCCAAACATCAGCTCTGATAGTTGGCCAGTATACAGTTTCCAGTAGTCTGAGCAAGGTCTTGAGTTTACCTAGATGACCACTGAGAGGATTGTCATGAGCATACTGAACAAAAGCTTGATGATGAATGGAGGGAATGACAAGTTGAAGTTTTTGACCTTTCCGTCCATCTGGAACACTACGGAACAGGAATCCATTTTCTGTTACATAATGAACTCGTGATGAGTCTTGTGGGATTTGAGATGGTACTTTGGTAATCAATTCTTGTATTTCTGGATCGTTGTTTTGAGCTATAGCTATCTGAGATAAATCTACTGGCATACTGACTGGTGATGATATTAAATTAGATGCTTGAGCTACAGCAATAATGTCAGGTGAAATGGTGAGGCTTGAAGCTCTGGATAATGCATCAGGTACCACATTACACTGACCTTTTCTGTACTTAACAGTAAAATGAAATCCTTGTAGTCTTATGGTCCATCTGATGAGACGTGATGATGGTTTGGGATGTTGAAATGCCCATGTCAATGCGGCATGGTCAGTTAATACTTCAAATATTCGTCCTTCGAGATATGGCCTCCATTTCTCCACTGCCCACACCACTGCTAGGCACTCTTTCTCAGATACCGAGTATGACCTTTCTGCCCCTCTCAGTAGTCTGGATGCATATGCAATAACGTGTTCTTTCCCTGCACATTCTTGTGTAAGAACGGCTCCCAAACCAACGTCACTGGCGTCCGTTTGAACTCGGAATGGTTGAGTGAAGTCAGGGGAGGTTAAAACGGGAGCTTGCATTAAGTCTTGCTTGATGAGATCGAGTGCCTGTTGGCATTGATCTGTCCAAGTCCAGGTAGAGTTTTTCTGTTTCAAAGCATGAAGTGGAGCAGCCTTCTCTGAGAAACTAGGAATGAACCGATGGTACCAACCGGCCATCCCCAAAAATCGTTGAACGTCTTTGAGAGACCGTGGGATGGGAAATGAACTAACTGCTGACACCTTGGTGGGATCGGTTTTGATTCCCTCACTTGAAACAACATGGCCTAAGAAAGTGAGAGATTTTTGAATGAAATTGCACTTTTTCAGGTTGAGTGTGAGACCTGCTTTGTGGAAACAATTGAAAACTTGTTGGAGATGTTGGAGATGGTCTTGCTCATTTTTGGAATACACCACGACATCATCAATGTAAACCATACAACATTTACCTTTCAACTCCCGCAATACATGTTCCATAAGTCTCTGGAAAGACGCTGCTGCATTTTTCAGTCCAAAAGGAAGACGTAGAAATTCATATAACCCTGAGGATGTGATGAAACCCGTTTTTTGAATGCTATGAGACTCCATTTCCAGTTGCCAATAGCCACTCTTTAAGTCCAGTGTAGAGAATACAGTTGCCCCATGTAATGACTCTAAGATGTCCTGTATTTGTGGCATTGGATATGCATCCAGATGAGTTTTGGCATTCAACCCACGGTAGTCAACGCAGAGTCTTGATCCTCCATCTTTTTTCTGAACCACCACCACTGGTGATGCCCATGGAGAGCAAGATGGTCGAATGATTTTCTTATCAAGCAGCTCCTTGACTTGATCTTCAATAAAACTCTGTTTTTCAACGGAAACCTTGTATGCTCTCTTTCTAACAGGTACTTCATCTGTGGTGATGATGCGGTGCTTGATCAAATTGGTATATCCAATCTCCTGGTTGCAAACAGTGGGCCAGCTTAACATGAGATTTTCCAGCTCTTGCTGTGTCTGCATGTCAGTGTCTGCTTTCTCCGATAGTTGATGTATAGAATGGAGTACTTCATCACTGTAAGGCTGTAAAGGTATGGCAAGGTAAAAGTTAATGGTAGAATGAATGTCCTGATGAAGGAATGGAAAGAAAATTGGTGGTTCAGAGCCTTCTATTGGAAAAAAAACCATACTGAGCATTATTGAAATCCAAGACCATTCCTGATTTCAACAGAAAATCCATGCCCAGTATGATGGGTACTGTTAAGTCAGTGTCATTCATTATATACAGGATAAGCTCTATTGGACGATTCTGCACTTCACTCTTCCACACCACCTTTCCAACAGCGGTTTGGCGTTGTCCGTTGGCTAAAAGGAAAGTTTGTCCCCCACCAGGTAGGTATATTTCTTGACGGCTTAACTGTTTCCAGCATGACTTTTGAATTAATGACAAAGTACTGCCAGTGTCCACCATAGCAGTTACATGCGTGTCTTGTAGAGTTATAGGAATGATAAGGTTTCTGATGTCGTGTTGCATAAAATTTTGGCAAGTCTGGACAACTCTGGTATTGGCTGCTGCTGATTTGCGTTGTGAATCGTGATCTGGAGGATTTCTCTTCTTTTGCTCATCTCCATTAACTTGACTCCAGTATTTCTTGGACTCAAAAAAATCTCGTTCTATCTGTGTACCTACTTTTACGAGTTCGCCTACATCTTTTATATTGCCACGTAGCAAACTAGCAAGCCGTGGGTTACAGTTACGTAAAATAGCTTGCACTACCTCTCTTTCTACCATGTCCTTCCATCTCAAGCACAGAGCTCGATAGTGAAAAGCAAAGTCTCTGAAACTTTCTCTTGCACCTTGTCTCCTCTCCATCAGCTTCCTTACTGCCAACTCTTCATAATCCTCACTGAGAAAAGATTGCAGAAATATTTTTTTAAACTGTTTCCAATCACGGACATTCCCTTTCTCTGCCATCCACCAATCTTTTGCAGTATGTTTAAGTACAGCAGTTAAAGAAGCTAAAATTTCACTATTCTTCAAAGGTCGAACAGCGAAATACTCCTCACATCGTTCGATGAATAAGATAGGATCTTCATCCAGGCTATTGCTGAAACTAGGGAACTCAAGTTTGACTGGTGGGTTATACTGGTTTGAACTGTCCATGACAGATTGATTATTTGACTGAAGACTGTAGGTTTGATCTCTCAGTGATCTGTGAACAGTACTGGTATTCTTAGGCTGATTTGGGGTGGATATAAAAGGCTGGAAAGCTTGTAATCTCTGTTCCAATTGTTGGTCTCTTCTCTTCAAACAGTCTAGCATTGACTGTCCAAGATCTTGAATGCTCAGTTCTAGATGTTTTTTCACTCTGCTGCACTCACGGTCTATTTGGTATAACAATTTATCTTCTGTAGCTTTGCGTTGCGATTCAAAATCAATGAAGGAAACTTGTTCACTCACACGTTGATTTATGTCGGTAATCTGCTCCTCGAGTTTGGTGAAACGTTCTGTGAGTTGTTCTAACATATCTGAAACAGCCGTGGAAGGATGGTGTGTCGGTTCTGCATAAATTTCAGGTGGTGGTGGAGGTAGAAATTGGACTTCCTTTTGGTCGTCGTCCACAATTTCTTCCTCCTCTGAATCAAGGTACAGATCACTGAACGTATTAATCAACTCTCGTAGTGGTTCTCTGTGGGTGCTAAATGGTGCAGATGAGAAATCTGTATTGGGTACGGGCTCATCCTCATCCAACACTTCTAGACTAGCCATTTTATTTATTTATTTACTAACGTGTAAGGGTTTATATGGTGACAAACACTGGTATATTTTCAACAACCTATATGAAGTCTGGTGGTCCCTGTTCGGGCGCCATTTATATAACCAATGTCCACTTTAGTGGCATGCAGCCATATATATATCTGAATAATAGGAAGGGCCCACCAGCTAAGAACGTATTGTTGCAAAATCTTAATATGTTACCCAGTTGTAAAGTCACAAACAATAAAGACAGAAATTAACTTTTTATACATTTATATCAATTTAGGAAACAACAAAAAAACAAACAAACAAAACAATGTATTTATATGAAAATAAATTGTAATGAAACCAGTTCAACAAATGAAAACAATATCCACTCTCATGGTCTATAAAGAAAGACTTAATCAGTAGAAAAGAAAATTACAAATGAAATCTTGTAATTGAATGATTCTTTGAGTAATTAAGGGAATCACTACAAAGAAAATTGAATGTCCAAAGCAAAAAAAACAACCTTCAAGTGCTCTTCCAGTAGTCCAAGGAAATCCATAAAAAACTAGATAGCCCACAAAATCACAGTCTTGTACTTAGGATATTTGTTAATCCACATGGTAATGCAGTGATATCAATCCATTGGTTTAGAAACCACTTGACGTCCATTTCAGTTGGGCCTTAGCAATTCATATGGACTCAACCGTCTCAAATCATAAAGTAACGTATAAAGAGTCCGTCTACAACAAAAAAGAAAAAGATATCTATAGTACTATTATATAAATCAAAATGAAAAACAATTACACAACATTAGGAGGAACAAAACTTACATGATTGAACTGGAAACAATGTTTCTCAATCAGGACTCCAATAAGTGTTGCAGGAGGTGCTTGAATAAAACCATGCTTCCCTCTTCCAAACAACTGACTTCTTCTATACTCCCATCCTTTTCAATACCAGAGGTTCTAACGCTCATGAGCCCCCCTAGTGGTGAGTATGATATCACAGTAACAGCTAATACTGTTACAAAGTTATAGTAGGCCTTTATATCTTTTTCCAATAAATGGCGATGAGCCGTTTGGCATGTAGAATACACATGTCAATCAATACTTGAGTGTCCTTATTAATTTTCCAGTTATCAGGATGAATACCAATAATGAAAAGCCCCGGATCCAGTGGCAATCTAACTGAGACTATATGCCATATCATATTATTAATTTCTTTCCAAAAAGCTTTTATTTTATCACATTCCCACATACAATGAATTAATGTGCCTTTTGCACTGTTACATTTAAAACAGGTATCTGGTATGTTGCTATAAATTTTGTTTAGTTTCACCGGAGTTATATAGGTACGCATAAGCCAATTGTACTGTAACAGTTTTAGTCTGCTGTTAATTGTCTGTATTTGGGCTTTTGCACATGTTTGCTCCCATTTTTCCTTATCTATCTTCAATCCAAGGTCCTGTTCCCACATGGCAAGTCTGGATGTAGATGATTCCTGAGAACCTAACAATAACATGTTGTATAAACAAGATATGTGTCCTCCACCAAGGCTTGGTTTAGATACACATTTCTCCAGATTAGTTAGCTCTGGCTCAGCAAGTCCTTGCCCCCGGGCAGTACGTATAAAATTCCTAATTTGCAAATATTTATAATAATGTTTTTTAGGGATTTTGAACTTGTCAGTAATATCAGAAAATTATATTAGAACGCCCTCTTTGTATAGATCCTTAACTTTCCTCACACCATTCTGAGCCCAGAGTCGAAAGCCTAAATCCCTTCGACCAGGTATAAAATTATCATTTCCCCATATTGGGCTAAACACAGATAAAGACTCTTTTTCCTTTAGATGAATTCGTACTTTCCCCCAGACATTAATCATGTTCAGTACTATTGGATTAAAAGATATTCCACTAAGACTTTTCTGTAATATTTTTATATTGGCTGAATAAATATACAAGTTTAAAGGAATCTTCGATTTCACAAATAAATTTTCTATTTCTAGCCATTTAGGAGGAGCACTTGCAGAAAAATGAAACATTATCGCTCTTAACTGGGATGCCCAATAGTAGAATTGAATATTTGGGAGCTTCAATCCTCCCCTATCGTATGATAGGTAAAGCAAAGATGACTCTTGGGTGTTTATTATTCTAAATGAACTGGATAAAAATTCTTCGTAGAATGGTAAAAAATGAGGTAGTGGGGGGCAAAGGGATATTTTGGAAATAATAAATTATTTTGGGTAGTGTATTCATCTTTAATATATTAATGCGACCAATTAATGAGATTGGTAAACCTGACCATCTATCTACAGACTTAGTAATTGAATTTGTTAGGGCCTTTGTGCTGTTTTAACCATGTATTTAGATTTAGATGTGCTGTGATTTGGTAAGATGATGATCTTTCTCTTTTTTTTTCCAGATACATTTTAGATGGATTGATAAAAGACAGATGGTGCCGAGATCAGGGATGGGATGGCAGAGATCCTGTCTGTGAAGGTGAGGTTTTTTTCTTAAATTTGAATGAAATATGACATTGAAGAGCACGCATTTATTCAGAACCATTCATGATGAGTATAAACAATTGTTATATGCTCTTCACTTTGTGATGCATCTGAAAATAAGTATTTATTCACTAGGATTTTTTTTCTCTTTAGTGGTGAAATGTAAGGCACCTCCAGCCATAGTAAATGGACAGCTTGAAGAGGGGCCTTTGGACAGTTATGATTATTTACAGGCCGTGTCCTACAGATGTAACAGTGGGTTTAGTCTTATTGGAAATTCAATACTTCATTGTTCTGAGGATGGGACTTTTAAACCAGATCCGCCAAAATGTATGGGTAAGTTAAACAGCCAGTCAAGAGATGAAAAAAGAACTTGTAAGCTGCTTCTTTTTTTTCTGTTGATGAATAAAATGTTTAATGAATAATACAATTAATTTACATAAACTTTTATTCTTTTCTTTTTTCAGATGGGTGTTTAAAGCCTGAAATTTCACACGCAACTAGAATCGGTGGAAGATCACCCCCCTACAAACTGGGACACTTTATAGATTACAAATGTGATGATGGCTTTACAATGAAAGGAGACTTCCATATTGTGTGTGGATCAACAGGATGGAACCCTGAACCACCAAAGTGCATTGGTAAGACTAAAATGATTTTATTATTGCATGACTGCAAACCATTTTATCTCCTAGTGATGTCACTCTGTTTAAAGGAGTAGCTCACCCAAAATGAACATTAATTTACTTGTCATTGTTAAGAAAGTCTTAAGCTTTTAGTCTAGCTGACTATCACATTTAGAGGGCTTCATTGGGATTGGGGTCCCATGGGACTAGGGGTGGAACGGTACACAGAAGTCACAGTTTGGTTCATACCTCGGTTCAGAAATCACGGATGATGGATAGAATAGTATTGCATCATATTACTTTAAAGTATATCTTTTGTTTATTTCCACAGCACAATGTAGACAGCCTTCTTTTGCATCAAGGAATGTCATCTTGTCAGAATCTTATCTCTTGACTCAAAGTTTCCCAGATGGATCAACCGTAACATTTGAGTGTGAAATTGGGCATAAGCCAGTAAACTCAAGAGCATCTAAATCTGCTACTTGTGAGAGAAACCAGTGGACAAGTCTGGAATTAGAGTGCACAAGTATGTACTATCAATAATTTTTTTTTGAGTACCCTTGTAATTTTCCCTAAAGTACCTTTGAATGTTTTTTAAAATCTAATTTAGATATGTGAAGGATGTACAGTATTGGTCAGCAAGCCCTTAAATGGCTTATATTCATAAGCAGTTCCTTTATAGTGAGGCAACACTAAAGATTATTTTTCAATATTTTCAGAAGTATGTGAAAACCACCAAATCTCAATAAGTCAATACTATCTTTAAACCTTTACAGAAAAAACCTGTGGGAGTCTTCCAGATTTTGATAATGGGAGATATGAAAGAACTGGGAATTTATTTGGTGACAAAGTTACAGCGGTTTGTAAGACAGGGTAAGTGAAACCAATAAATCAGTTTCTTTGTGCTGTTTTAACCATGTATTTAGATTTAGATGTGCTGTGATTTGGTAAGATGATGATCTTTCTCTTTTTTTTTTCAGATACATTTTAGATGGATTGATAAAAGACAGATGGTGCCGAGATCAGGGATGGGATGGCAGAGATCCTGTCTGTGAAGGTAAGGTTTTTTTCTTAAATTTGAATGAAATATGACATTGGAGAGCACTCATTTATTCAGAACCATTCATGATGAGTATACACAATTGTTATATGCTCTTCACTTTGTGATGCATCTGAAAATAAGTATTTATTCACCAGGATTTTTTTTCTCTTTAGTGGTGAAATGTAAGGCACCTCCAGCCATAGTAAATGGACAGCTTGAAGAGGGGCCTTTGGACAGTTATGATTATTTACAGGCCGTGTCCTACAGATGTAACAGTGGGTTTAGTCTTATTGGAAATTCAGCACTTCATTGTTCTGAGGATGGGACTTTTAAACCAGATCCGCCAAAATGTATGGGTAAGTTAAACAGCCAGTCAAGAGATAAAAAAAGAACTTGTAAGCTTGTAAGATTGGTGCTCTGTTTGAGGACAAGAAATGAAAACCAATGCAATATGATGAATGTCCAAAAGATGGCGCCCACAGACTGTTTTTAAATGGGTTGGATAAATAGATAAGATAACAGTTGTCATGACTCATGAATGTTTTGCTGGTCAAACGGAAAAGATATATAGTTCAGATTTTTTCTCCTCCCGTTTATCTACAGCTCAGATCTAGAATTCTGAAGTGAAATAAAGTAGCGCTGTAATCATTTTTTTATGAATTAACCAGAGCAAGAGAGAGAGAGAGAGAGAGAGAGAGAGTGCGCGCGCAAGTGAGTAACCTAATATTGAAGCTTGTTGGTTTTGACTTGGAAACCGAAGTTTTCCCAAACTTGCGATCTTAAAGAGGCCGGCGGGTCCTAACTCATCACTCGCCATACTCCTTAGTGCTGCTATCTCTGACTCACTCACTGGACTGTCCACCTGACAAAAAACTGCATACAAGGCGGGGCTACAGATTATGTGTCCCTAAAGAACCCGCGTATCTAACAGTAGTTCCGCATTACATTAATTAATTTGCACGCAAGTTTTATTTATTTTTATACCGTGTATTCTCCGTGTAAATTCATGCACAGAACCGTGACGCCCGTACAGTTTCAGGTTCAATACGAATACATGTACTGTTCCATACATGGGACCCAACACAAATCTTGCAGGAGTGTACGGTTTTACCTTTGCTGCGGGTGGGAGTGGGTGGACAAAAAAAATATCGCTTGGGTCCCCTCTATTTGCCGTGTAAAAAGAAAGGAGTCAACAAATGAAGTTAACGCAGTCGATCAGTAACATTCTCTTCCTCCATAGCAATCTGTAGTAGGCTAGGCCAATTGATTTAAGTAAATACACATCATGAAATACAACGCCAAGAAATCCCCAAAAAGTGTCAGTGAACTTTCTTCACTACCTTCTTGTTATGACAAACACAACAGATATGTTCACCTCAGAGAATAAGGAACATGGATTTTATTTGTTTTTGTTAATCTTGATTTCTCACAAATTGTGTGTTTTTCTGGGTGTCTCATGAACGCGCAGTCGAGCACAGACCATCGGCCAAGGTCAAGATTTTCGTTAAATAAATGTAATACCGTATACATATATGCCACATGGGATCATTCTGTGATACTTTTGCGTCTTTTTGAAAATGCATGCAGCATATATTCTCTGGCTCTGTAGGCATTGTCCGACTCGGGTTCGAACTGAACACCGCTACTGACAGTTTCTGACATTTTCAGTGTGTGAGATTGTCCTGTTTTGTTGCCGGTGTTGTGCCTAATTTCGACCCCCGGCCAAATTATTACCCCCCTCGTTGAAGTCAGTACCTGATTGCCTAATCCCAACCCCGCCCCTAATCCTAACCCCTCCCCCACAACTAATCCTAAACCTACCAATGCTAGGGGGGTAATAATTTGGCGGGAGTCGAAATTCGGTACAACACCGGTATGAGCTCTTGAAGCTCTGCCCTATTCTTGAAAGGGGTGGGAGCTCCAGTTCATTGTGGCAATTTCCACATGTTATAAAAATTATCTGTGGGGTATTTTGAGCTAAAACTTCACATACACACTCTGGGGACATCAGAGACTTATTTTACATCTTGTAAAAAGTGGCATCCGATGTCTCCTTTAACAGTTGATAGAAGTCTAATAAAAAAACTGTCTAAATGTGTTTGTGTGGTGCTAGTATAACTTTATCTTATGGTTAGTTTAGTTAAAGGGATAGTTCGCCCAAAAATGAAAATTAGCCCATGATTCGATTTCGATCTTTCAGATGAATACAATCGGAGTAATATAAAAAAATGTCCTGGCTCTTCCAAGCTTTATAATGGGTGTCAATGGGTATATTTTTTTGGAAGTCCATCAAAGTGCATCCATCCATGCTAAAACTGTTCGAAACGGCTCCGGCGGGTTAATAAAGGCCTTCTGAAGTGAAGTGATGCGTTCGTGTAGGAAAAATATCCATATTTAAAACTACGGCCGTACGCAAGTCGACTTGCCAAAAGAGTAACACTTGACGATGTAGGAGTAGCGTAAGCTTTGACGTCTCTCGCTCTTGCGGTTCAAACAAAAAGAGGTTAACTAATCATTTCTCTTTCTGGTACTGACACCATAGCCTCTATGGGACTGACGGGAAGAACGAAAGACTAGGACCCGATCCCGAAGACTCGAGAGATGAACTAATCATTTCTCTTTCCGGTACAGACAACATAGCCTCTATGAGACTGATAGGAAGAATGAAAGACTCGAACCCGAAGACTTGAGAGATGTTTCTGTTCTGTTCCAGCCGAGACCGGAAGGCTTTGAGGGCTAGAGAGACCGCTCCTAGTTCCAAGCGATTTATGTGCCACTCCATCTGCTTCTCTGACCACTGACCCGAGGCGGGCTTTCCCGAGCAGACCGCTCCCCATCCGGTGGACGAAGCATCCGTCAGGACCTCCACACGCCGCGTCACTATACCCAAAGGGACGCCTGAGCTAAAGAGATCTGGGTTCCTCCACGGAGCCAGGGCACGGGCGCATCCGCGGGTGACCATAATGCGCATGTGGCCGGAATACCACGCACTCGGGGGGACGCGCGCTTTCAGCCAGAGTTGAAGCGGGTCTCATATGCAACAGCCCCAGATGACACACTGAAGAAGCCGCTGCCATCCGTCCCAATAGTCTCTGAAATTCTTTCAGTGGGACGAGCCTGCCAGGTCTGAAGAGACCGAGAGAAGAACTCAGAGCCTCTGCCCGCTCGGGGGAGAGGCGCGCTCTCATTCTCACCGAATCCAAGCATACTCCTAGGAATGTGGAAGTCTGACTCGGTGTGAGCACACTTTTCTGGGCGTTCACCCTCAAACCGAGCACCTCCAGGTGTCGAAGGAGGGTATCCACATGGCTGACCAGCGCTTCTTTCGACTGCGCGAGAACCAGCCAGTCGTCCATTGACGGGTGCCAGATCCAGAATGGGGCGGAGACCCCCTCCCTTCTTCGGCACTACGAAGTAGCGGCTGTAGAACCCGCTCTCCCACTCGCTCGGGGGAACCGGCTCTATCGCCTTCTTCTTGAGCAGGCTGCACACTTCCTGCCTCAGCACATGAGCGTTTTGGGGCAAGGTTAATGACTGAATTACGCCGTGGAAGCGGGGTGGTCTGCGTTTGAACTGAAGTGTGCACCCGTGCCGAATTATATTTAACACCCACTGTGAAATGCCCAGAATAGCTTCCCACGCTGTCTGAAAATGATTGAGTGTGGGCCGATCTAAACCAGTGGTCATCGCCGCTATGTGAGGGCTGGGAACAGACACCTCGCGTTCCCCACGAGGTGCCTTTATAGCTATTGACCGTGACTCTGCGCTGCTCGAGGGCAGGGCGGGTAACACAATGTGTGGTGCAAGAGGAGAAAAAAGCTCTGTTTGTGAAGTAGTAGCATGCTTTATTGAACAATGAATAACATTTACAACATTTACAGCCTTCACAGCACAACTGCACTTGTCGCTCGCAGAACGCAGAGGGACTAAGTGCTCTCGAGCGCGTCGCTTGGACAGGTCAGGACGACTGCTTGGGCCTCGCAGGGGACGCGGTGGGCTTCCTGCGCGGGCTCCTCCTCCTCTTGCTACCTGCCCCTTGCCACTGGCCGCTACGGCCTTTACGAGCATCCGGTCCCGGGCGGGGGGCTGACTGGCGTCTGGCCGCAGCGTGAGGTTGGCGGCCTGAGGCAGAAGACGAGCGCAAGCGAGGCGGAGGCGGCGGCGGAGGCGGCGGCGGCGCCCTCCGAGGGATAACGTGGCTCATAGCCTTAGCTTTCTTCTGAGTTTCAGAGTAGCGCTCAGTAACCTTCTCCACGGCGTCTCCGAACAGGCCTGCAGGGGAGATCGGTGCATTTAGCAGCGTCTTCCTGTCCGCCTCCTGCACGTCCGACAGGGTGAGCCACAGGTGTCTGTGGAGGACCACCAGATACCCCATCCAACGGCCAATCGCCTGGGCCGAACGCTTCGTGGCCAGGAGCGCGAGGTCTGTGGCCGAGCGGAGGTCTCGAATGGCGTCAGCGTCGACTGAGGCAACACCATCCAGCGACTTCAGCTGCTTAGCCTGCAGCACTTGAAGAACGGCCATCGCATGCATTGCAGAAACCGCCTCCCCCGCAGCACCGTAAGCCTTGTTGGCCTGGTAGGCCGTAAATCTGCAGGCTCGGGACGGCAGGCTGCGGTCCGAGCCCAGAGCAGGAGCCGGCGGGCAGAGATGTGCGGCGACGGTCTCCTCGACGGGGGGGATGCGGAGATAGCCGTGGTCCCCCGCCTCGTCCACGGGGGCAAACATGGCCTGGGTGGAAGAGAGGGTGCGCGCCGATTGCGGGGCCGCCCACGACTTCACCACGTGCTCATGCACATCGGGAAAAAACGGTGTCCCTCTTCTCGAAGTGGCCTGACGGCGGCTCGATTGGAGGAACCACGTATCCAGTTTGCTCTTCGATGGTTCATCAGGAGCTATCCATGATAGGTCCAGTTCCTCGACGGCCTTCGAGAGAATGCGGAAGAGCTCATCCTGCAGGTCCGCCGGGGTTTCTTGTTCCGCGGCCGCCCGCGGAGCAGCCTGCTCCGCACCCCAGTCGTTCTCGGAGGCCGACAGAGACATAGAGTCGTCCTCCTCGCTCGCCCCGAAGGACACGAAGTCAGCAACCTTGCGAGGGGGTTGAAAGGCGGGGTCAGGGAAACTCACCGGGGGACGAACCTCGATCCCACGGTTGTGGGGGGGCCAGCTTCCTCCCGCCTAGCTTTGAGGGCTCGGAGAGACATGTCTGCACAGAGGTCGCAGGACCCTCCATCCCTGAGGGCTGATTCAGCATGGGCCAGCCCCATGCACGCGACACAGAACAGGTGCATGTCTTGGGGCACGATGGGGCCCGAGCACAGGTTGCAAACGGTCGCCATCGGATGCTGGAGACAGCGTACGTATCTCCGGCGCACCTTCAACGACAGCGAGTAATCCTTTATAGTTCGATATTGGAGTATCAGCTTTCTAGCACACGATTTGAGCGTGAAGAGAGAGATTCTAAAGGGAATTGACGCTGCATTTGTATTTATACTGCCACGGTTCAGTATTTGCAAATTTGCGTCAATTGGCCAGCTCTGCTGGCGTTAGCCTATAAGATTTCAGCGGAAGTGAAGGAGGAGAGGAGTTCCCATATACGACATCCGTAATGTCGAAGTTCAGTAGCCTTGATAGGGAACTCAAGCTTACTGAAGCTAAGTAAACAATCAGTGATAAAATAGGAACAAAGAAACTAATTTCAAGCAATAGGACAAAAAAGCTACAATAGAACAGACACAAATTAAATAGACCTACCTGAAAAACTACATACATTTATACTTATTAAAGTTACAAAAGTGATTCAGTCAAGACCCGAGCAATGAGATTCTGATGGCAGAGATCTTCTCTGTAAAAGTGAGGGTTTTTGTTTCTTAAATTTGACTGAAATGTGACATTGAAGAGCCCACATTTTTTTCTCTTTAGTGGTGAAATGTAAGGCACCTCCAGCCATAGTAAATGGAACGCTTGAAGAGGAGCCTTTGGACAGTTATGATTATTTGCAGGCCGTGTCCTACAGATGTAACAGTGGGTTTAGTCTTATTGGAAATTCAGCACTTCATTGTTCTGAGGATGGGACTTTTAAACCAGATCCGCCAAAATGTTTGGGTATGTACATCACATTTAAAATGCCAGTCAAGAGATGAAAATTGTTTTTTACTCGTCAATTTCTTTTCTTTTCTTTTTCTTTTGATGAGTAAACCGTTTAATGATTAATACAATTATTTTCAGGATTAGTAATTGTTTACATAATATATTGACACATTTCTGAAATACACTGACAAATTTATTGATTAATGACAATATTAATTTCATGCCTTTCAGTGCAAAATTAATATTTATTTACATCCCTATGATCTTTCATGGATCTCTGAAGAAAATTTTGAAAGTTTCTTCTCTCTCTCATTTTAAGCATATAAGAGTGTGATTTGTATTTCTGATATTATCTAGACTTCTTGAACTCCTATTTTTAGTTACCTAACCCAATGTCAATGTTACATGTTTGACTCTCAGCCCTACCTTCAACAACCACAACTGCCACGATAGTAACATCCAAGGCTCAACCTAAAGATAATGGTATTGCACTCTTTGAATCTATACTCCATTATAACATTTTTAGATACACATTTATATTCTCCAAATGTCCCTGTTTTAAAGAGTTAACAACGTAAAAATCCAGAAAGAGAGAGCTAAGAAACTTTCTGTAGTGGTGTCAATAATTGAGAAAATAGTGGCCTAAAACTTTGGACTGTACATTTTTAGAAAAGTCACAATTTGATTCAATTGTGAATCAGGGATGTCATTACAAAATTCTATACATACTATTATTATTATTAGGGGTAGGGATGTAAATTATCGATTAATTCATTAATCGTTAGTTGATCGACCTTATATTCTTGTTTCTCTCTCTCACCAGATCTTAACGTTGTTAGCTCTTTTATAATGGGACTGTTAAGGGAACACTCGTTTTCTGAGCATGAGAGTGTAATTATAGCTCTGTTTATACAGAATAACTGTTTAAATGCTTTGTCTAAGAATGCTTCTTTTTTTTCATCTACTTCATCTAAGTTATCTATCTAGTTGTATTTGAAGCAGTTTCTCTCTCACACACACCTGTTCTTTTAAATTCTACAGATCACTCCAACATAAATACATTTTCCACTACAAGTAAGTGTCTTTTTAAGTTCAGTTTTTATTTTACTTTACTATCCAATAAAGAGCTGATTCCTATTGTTAGAAACTTTGGCTCCTTGATCTTTTTGAAATGTTTGAAACTGGTGGATTATAATATGTGATAATTTTAGTATTCCTATAAATTAATTTTTCGTATCTTTGATGTTAGATTGTGACCCATTTAAATGTTTGTGTTTGTCAGCTCAGAGGTTGTCTGTTGTAGAAAATTCCAAAAACCTCCAAAAGTGTCCATGTCATATTTCTGGTTGGCCGTTGTAGCTTGCTTTTAATTGTCAATTTACATGTTTAAGTTATGCTTAAATTAGTTACAAGTGTTACAAAATGTTTGTTTTTTTTCCGTAATATATTGCACGGTTATATTGTACTGTTCATTTTGTCTTAATCTATTCAATTAATTTTCTCTATTTTCAGAAGTATTCATTGGATTGGGTTCTACAGTTGGGGTTCTGGGTAAGTCTCAGTCTGCATAATTCACCAGATAATATACATGTCTACAAAAACCCAGTTATGAAATGAAAGAGGAGTAGAACGTGCGTGTTCATCTGAGCCTCATTGGTCTGTCACTGCTCGTCAATGTCAGAATATTTGAGATGACCAATCAAATCAAAGTAGGCGGGCTTTATGTTCACAGAAGCTGAGCGCGAATTTTAGCAGTGAGACTCGACGCTTCAGTGTACAGTCAAGTGCGAGATGTAAGCAGCTAAACTAAACATTTCATATTTGACAGTTTTTTTAGTTCATAAACGTTAAACGAATGACAAAAATAATCGGGCACACGAATATACTTTTGTCTAATTTCGCCATTTTGAGCTGAAAATAGGCCTATGTAACATGACTCGTAATGTAGGCTAATAATTAGTTTACTGTCATTGTGAGGGGAAAAGACGTTTTCATTGTTAGGCACAAGATTAATAATGAATGTGTACATATTGAGAATTAATATAGTACAATTTGTAGCCTTAAGTAAATTAAAAAAGCTCAGCTTTAGGAGGGGAAGGCAAGATCAGGAGACTGAGAGAAAAAGAAAGAGTGATGGATAAGAAGTGAGAGCAGGTATTGACAAATAATCTGCCCACTGACATGGTTTTAAAGCTATTTCTTATCCTTTTTTTGGCCTTCAAACGTCTTGAAATGCACATATCAGAGAAATAAAAAATTTGAACCCCCTACCCACCTCAAATTTAGGACCTCTGTGATTATAAAGCCCTGTCTACGGCCCTGTATTAGGCATAAGATCAATAATGAATGTGTACTGTGAATGAATTTAATAAACTTAGTTAGGCTACCTAGCTTTCCTAGTAGCTTTCAGTAAATAAATTCGTCTGAGAAAATGATTCATAAATCAACCTATCAGTTGACCCTATGTTTACTTTCTTCACTGACAGACAAACATGAAAAGCCTATCAGTCAAAGCTCAACTTTAGGAGTTTTTTTGGCCTTCAAAACATCTTATAATGCACATATAAGATACACATATACTTTAACTTAGTCCTCAGATAGAGGAGGGATGCTGCCAGCTCCGTTAAGGTATTTCTGTCCCTCCCAAACTGCATTGAAATAGTATGTTTCGCAGCCAGAATTAAAAAAATTTCAGGGGGAGAAACCCCCTGACCCCTCCTAACATGATCCATATCACCCAAACAATTGCAACGTCTCAGATTGTGCCCCCCCAGAATTTTGGCTTGCATGACGCCCCTGAGTAGAAGTCACATTTAATTATTACATTAAATGTAAAATGCTGGTAGCGAAATGTTCACAAACATTATAAACATGTATTTTATGTTCCCTCCACAGCAAGTCCTTTACATTTTACAGAATTTAGAACAAAACAGAAATGAAAAGTATAAGGTTGAAGTAAATAGAAATTATAGTGGCATTCATTATAATCAATATTTATTATTAACCCACAGCCTAAACATTTTTTTTAAAGCGAAACTGAAACTATTGGTGTGTGGGAAATGCACGATGGGAGCTGCACGATTAATCGTTAAAAGATTACAATCTCGATTCAAACACCCACACAAATGACAACGATTCTCCTGTGTCTAATAAACTTTTGACAAAATCTCACCGTAACATTGAGATCTGCTTTGTACTGCTGCTGACCCAGAGAGAGCAGCTGTCATATAGGTTTAAACAGCTTCACAAACCACACAGTTACATATATACGAATATTCACAGAAGTTCTGGGATAAAAGTTTATTGTTCGGATAAAAACATTGATGTCTGTGGAAGTGATCAAAATAGAGAAAATCACCTTTTAAAAGTAGCATGGTGTTTCAAATAACGATTATATCTTTACGCCACCATATGACGGCAAGGGACTGTTGAAAAATTAATTTATCTTTCATTCATTCAAAAGATTTGTTCAAAAATGCTGATTCGTCCAGTAATAAAACAAGTGAAGTATTTATGAGTCAATGAATTTATTCATATAAAGTTTATTTTTAATTTTTTTTATAATTTAGATTAATTAAACATTTTTTAAATAGACTGCATCCAATTAACATTTTGTCAGAACCTGTAGTAAATTATTATTTTTTTTAGTTGTTTGTTCAGAATCGTGGGAAAAACATCATCTCTGTTTGAAACAAAACAATCAATCTCCATTCATCCAGAATCGAGGAGCTCTATGTGCTATACAAAAACTTGCCTCTCTCGTTCAGCACAATTAGAAATGACCGCTTTGCACATATTTTGCGTGCTTGACGTTAATTGCATTATCAGCATGTATCGGATGAAAATAAAATATTCCGGAAAACACAGTAGTTTTCCAAACCTGCTTAGTGTCACACACTATCAGTTGTAATTTTTATTTGTGAAATTAAGAAAATTTGATTTATGTGGGATTGAAACATTTATTAGAGAATTTATAAAGAAAAATTCTGTTTCAATCAAGGCAAGTCATTTGTAATACTTACTATTCTTCTCTGTTTAATAGTCATCCTTGGATTAGTCCTTTTCTACAAAAAGAAACAGTAAGTTTTCTGCATTGTCTTAGGTGCTCTTTGCTTATGTGATTTCTTGGCTGTTCTTCTTACACTCTTATATTGGGTAAAATTAATGTTTTGCATTCAGATTTATAAAACGGGTGGTTTTCCACACATTTTCCATGGGGAATGGAAATGCCTTGAAGTTAAGGTTAAATATACCCAGATATTTAGTCATGCACATGCAGACCATAACCAGACTTTTGGATGGCAGCTCAAAACATGAGTATTCTAAAACCCAGACTCTTCCCGGTGTAGAACTAGATTAGCCATAATCCTGAAGAGATCTCTACCTTTAAAAAAAAAATGCACTGCTTCCATGAAGCATTGGGAATGATATAATTTACATAATTGAATCTATTCTCAAGTTGTGAATATGTAGTTGTTCTCTTGATATATGATATATTTGCATATATCTGAATATTTTGCAGTCAAATGTGTTGTTTTCATAATAGGTTAAAAATTACCCCCTATACCCTCATTCGCTATCCCCTACATTAGTCCACTAATATAGTCTACTTGAAGGAATGAATGAAAAGGAGTGAATTTGGACACTTAGGGGGCTTTCACACTGGCAGTTTAGTTCGGAACGGGGCACGGTTCGCATGAAAAATCGCTAATGTGAACGCTGTCATGGGACCCGGGTGCGCACTGGGGTACCGAAGCACCAAATTTGGAAATCCACTGTCTCCTCAAAAGAGTCCGTTTGCAAGCAGCAGAAGGCCACCTTATGTGACACACGCACAGTAAACCTGTATTGTTCACTCAACTGCGCATAATAGCAGCGAATTAATAAAAAAAAACACAATATTGACCCGCGTTCTGTTTTCTATCATGCGCCGTGCACGTTTGCGATGACGTAATATGCACGCAAACGCATCAGGGTTCGATAGAATCAAGTTGAGTGTGAAACCAGACCAACACTGCGGGGGGCGCCGGGAATAAACGCGCTCGGGCTCGGACCGCAGCAAACGAGCCCAGTGTAAAAGCCTCGGGTTCGGTACCCCAGTGCGCACCCGGGTCCCATGACAGCGTTCACATTAGCGATTTTTCATGCGAGCCGAACCGTGCCCCGTTCCGAACTAAACTGCCAGTGTGAAAGCCCCCTTAGCAAACTGGCAGCTCCAGTAGTAGCTTAGGCTACTGAAAAGATGTATCTTGAACTCTGCCATGGAGACTAGCATGTATAAACCGTACTTAAACAATTTAATAATCAATTAAAATGGGATTTATACCTGTATTACGCTGTAGCCACATTGGACCAGCGGTTTGGAAAATAGATGCTGATTCAGTTGCGGGTGAGATGCGGGAATTCATTCCGCGTGACCCTCACAGTGCATTATGGGTATTCTCTAGCCGTTGAGTGTACACAAAGTCCCTTTCAAGTTCCCTTGCGATTTCAGACACGGGCCTGGTCTTTTCACGAGAAAACACAAAGTGACCAGGTGTAAACACAGGCTTCAAGTCAGTAGTTTTAAATGATCTTTGTCATCTTATCTTTGTCATTCGCACTTCGCAGCCACAGTGCTTCATGAGCAGTTAGTTTTCTCATGAGCAATTAAGTGCACACTGGTCTGGTACTTTTATCCTTTTTT